GGGCCATCCAGGGCAAGAGCGGCCGCTTCGACGTAAGGCTCCGGGGGGCCGGGGGGGACCGGGCGCGGGGTGCCCCGCTCCGCTCCCTGCGGGCCACCGGGAGAGGGTGAGCGGGGCTGTTCCGCTCGTACCCGCTCTGCGGGTAAGCAGGGGCGTTGGATGGCTCAGGTCAGGAGCCTGCCCGGGGTGACGCGGCAGAAGTTCCTGGGTGGGTTTCGCGTAGAAGGGATGTGCTGGGGGTGCTGGGGCAGGTGTTGCTGTCGGGAGCCGCCCGCGTCCCTCTGGGGCCGTGACCCTCCTCTTTTTGCTCGGTGTACAAAGGGGCCGGTGGAGGGGGCTTTGCACCCCCTCAGTCCTCCTCGTGCAGCACCAACGCGTTGGGAGGAGCCGTAATGTTTGGGCAGAGGGCGCGGGAGAGCAACTGTCTCTTTGTCACATTCAAACCCGTTAATGTTGCTGTTATGCATTTAATACTAGATGCAGATAAACATAGAGGAACCTCTTTACCATACCAAACAAAATGCTGTTGAAGTGATGCACGTCGCATCATGTGACAATACAGCGTATTGGTGAAAAAGTTGTGTCAAATGGCAACTCTCGCTTTATTTAATGTTTTTAGATGCTTTTGTGTGTTGGGAATTTTTTTGGCTCTACTTCAGAGACAGAATGGGCAGAGTATCGCACAGGGGCCAAGAAAGGTAAGGAAGGCGTTGTCACTCTGGATGCTGGTGATTGCACTATTTTGCGACCCGCTTCGCTGTCTCATCGCAGTGTGCTTTTGAATTCAGAAGTCGCAGTTAAACGGTGTAATGTTAAAGCAGTTAAACTCAAGTAGGAAAACTCCACAGAGGAGGGAAAGATGGGTTTGTTTTAAAACAAAACTAATTTCTGTCACGCTCTCGGACTCAGGAGCACAAAGATGCACGTGTCCAAGCAGCCTGCCCACTCTGCGTTCAGGCCTGAGGAGAAGGGGGAGAGCAGAGGTGCTGGTGGGCTGAGCGTCTCTGTTCTTCAGCCACGGAGATCAGAAGGCTTTCCAAAGGAGCAGGGTTTGCCCACTCCTCCTTGGTCCCCGCAGCCCTTGTGCTGAAGACATCGATATGAAAAGTCCTGTGTGGGCTTCTCTGCCTCTTTCCACACCCCTCTTGTAAAGGAGATGCTACCTCACGAGCATTTGTAGTGTTCCTCTTTCCTCTTCAGCTTGCCCCCTGGCGTGAGGCAAGCCAGAAAGGAGCTGGGACTCTTGCTTTCCAGTACCTCTCTGCTGCTGCGTCACTCCCCAGTTATCCCCCTCTTGTTTGTGCATCTGTTTCAGCCGTCTGGACAAAGACTGTCCTGTTTGCTGCTTGTAGCTGAGGACTTTCCATGGCGAGCCATGCTGCCTTTGTTCCTGTTGCTCTGAGACTATAAGAATTGTTACTGGTTTAAACTTCACTCCCCAAGGAAGCTCTCCTGTATGCGCAAGGAGAAGAGTGGGTGTTAACAGCAAAGTCTTCCCTGGACTGATGCATTTTTGCTCATCCTCACTTGAATTGTGTTTACCCTTTGAACTGTTGAAAAAATCTGTAGTTTATAACCTCACCTATACGCACATAGATATGAACAAGATTTGTGTTTCATTTTGGTTTTAAGCCATTCATAAGATTTTCGAACTCTGCTCTGCAATTGAGAGCAATCTCCTGTATCTTCTGACTGTGGGAGCTGGAACTTCAAGCAACAGTCTAAAACAGCTGTAGCAGAGCTGCTGTATTGCTGCTGCTCTCCCTTCTTAAATAGGAAACTATTGCTGGTTTTTGTTCAGTGAAAAACTTAGCACCTGCTGACCAGGTGAACTGTTGACCAGTTTACTGGTGTACTGGTCTGTCTGGAAATCTACAGGAGGTGTCTCTGACATGGGTCGTTCCTTTTTCTAACTTTTAATAGCTTGAAAAGACTTTACTTAAGCTGTTTGGAGAAATAAATTTTTATTGATCACCTCGCCATAGAGAAATTAAAACTGGTACTTCCCATTGCTTTTTTTTAATTATATCCACCAGTTCCAGGTGAAGTCATGCAGCAAGTGCTTCTGCCAAGTGAATCAAAGAGCTGATGAACTTGAGCTTTTCCTGTAAAACATCAATGGTTTGCAGTTTTTTGATACCATATGAATTTAGATCAGCTTAAACAATCAGCAGGTGTTCCTGTGCTCTGGTATTTACTTAGCATTGCCCTAGGGAAGACCCATGTTTTTAGGGCTATGGATCATTTTGGACCTGATCTTCCTATGTAGGCAGCGGAGTGAGTTGTAGTTAAAGCAGAGGTTATTCTCTGCTGGTGCTATATGCATCTGTGGAAACAGCAGGCTTGGGGACTTGTTTTGAAGGAAGGCTTTTTATTCTGTGCTTATCGCTCCTCAGCACGCTGCAAAGGAGTGGTGTTGGGGTCTGTGGGAATGGATGGGACCTGCTGCGATTCCTAGTAAATGTGGATTGAACTTGTGCTAATATATTTGAATTCAAGCAGACTGAGTGCATGTGGTTTTTTTCCTCAGCTCCAATTCCAACCTATGTGCTTGGCGCTAATGACCAAGAGACCGTGAGCTTTTTTCCAGATGTCAGTGGCTGTGAATTAGCTGAGAACATCACTTACTTAGGTAAGGCTGCAGGTGGTTTGTGATAAGGGATGTGTGTTTGCCTGGTGGTGCCTTCATGAATGTTTTCTGATCATCCCACTTCAAAGCCTTTCCTTTTCCTGGAAATTTTAAGGTGGCATTTCTTATTGTGGGGTTCAGACTGGAGTTGAACTCTATGTTGAAAGGCTGATACAATCTGCTGTGTAAAATGTGAAAGAGAACCCTGCTTTTTTTGTTGTTTTCTAACACTGACCTTGCTAACCAAAAGTAGTTGAAAGAGCCTCTTCTTTGAGAATATCTTATTCCCATAGAGTGCCCATCTGTGTATGGGGAAGGTTTCCTACTTGAAGTATGATTTTGCTATGCTCTGAGGCTGTATTGGAGTAGCGGAGGTAAGAAGTGTCATCTTTAGGGGTAATGAAGCTGTAGCAAAGCTAAAAGGAAAAACTAGTTTCTTTCTAGAATGCCACCTGACAAAAACTGTAACAAGTAAAGGCACCTGCAGTTGGCTTTTTTTACTCAGCCTTCATACCGAGCTTTTGATATGGCTTGATTTTTGGGAAGCAAGATAGCAGTGAGGAGAGAAGAATGGGGGTTGTCTGAACAGCTTCTTCGCTGTAGGCAGGGTTCGAGCCATTGCGCTAAAACACGTCTTTACTGCAGTTTATGGGCACAGAAAATGAGCTGTCTGTAAGGACAGTTTCAGTAGAAGTAAGGGAGGACTGCTGAATTTGGTCCTCTGTCTATGATGCGACTAAGAGATGACTTGCAATGTCTACATCTCAAGTGCGTGCCGGTGTATTAATGCAGGCCGTCGAGGTCTTTACAGTGGTACTTCTGGACTGCAGATCGCGTACCTGAGTGGTACCGAGTCCCAGGATGAGCCAGCTCCTGCCTACAGTTTTAGCGCAAAGGATGTGGCAGAATTAAAAACATCTTTGTTATCAACCCCAAGCTTCAAAGGTGTGGATATATTGCTGACGTCCCCCTGGCCCAGAGATGTGGGGACTTTTGCCAACAGTGCGGTAAGTGTTCTGTTTTCGGATGGAATGGGTTTCCAGATGGATTTAACAAAGGATTGCCTTTCTGCTTGCTGTGGCAATTTGGGCTATTGGCTATTGGGCCATCTCCGAGTGCTTGAGAAAGCCGAGAGTAAAAAACTAACAATGGATGTTCTGGTTCTTCAGAGAAGGACCAATGGGGAGGGGTATTTGTGAAACTTCAGGGTGTTCTATCTGTCCCTGCCTGAAAAATCAGACAATTCATCTGATCACAAATGTTGCTCTGAATTCAGTTGGTTGCAGTTGCTGTGGAATGATGCTGTTAGTCTCTGATGTGGAATACTGTGCTCTAAGCATCTTCAATACCACTTGACATTAAGTCATTCTTTCTCCCCGCTTCAAAACTTTTTAAGCGTTTTGGTGTTTGTTTCCTTAAGTATCAGTCAGCTGTACTAAATGGTCTGATTCTTCCTCTGTCTGGATTTTGAGGATGTTGTTTCATTTGCGTCCAATTTTCTGTTGTTAATGGTCCTCAGCAGAAGTGACTTTCCAGTTGTAAGTTCAGGTGATCTGAAACTTTCCTGGAGAGCAAGGCCGCATACCGTGCAAAAGTACACTTTTTGCTTCCTCTCAGTATCTTCCAACATCCAAAAAGAGATACGATCCTCAGTCTAAAAGCATAAAGAACCCTCCCTCATCTCCCCCCTCAAAAAAACCCAACCCCACTAGCCTAGGGAGTTGGAGAGAAACAAGTTGTAGGGATGTTCTGGCTTAAAAAGAAAACTCAGGTCTCGAAATTCTAATGGGGATTTTCTGTAGTGGTTCAGTGTATCATTCCGCACTTGTCTTCCCTTGGCATTAATTTTCTGAGAATGTACTGACTTGGATTAACAGACGAGTATATTAATAGTGATTATATTCAAATATGCATCTTGTTGGAGTGTGTATTTTATCACCTGAGGATTTCAGTAATAAGTCTTGGAGATTCCCTTGTGCGCTGAGACTCTGAAATCCTGTCACTCAAATAATGCAGGAAGTTTGAGGAATGAACAATTAGGTCTCTTGCTCTTTGTCACCTGAAGTCTCTCTTTCAGCAAAAGTGGTGTGAGGAGCTAAATTGCATGGATGAGAATTGACTCCGTGGAGAAGTGGGCTTCCTTTTCCTGAGATGCTTCGTAGCTCTGGCTATTTTCAGTGGGGCTGGAAGCAGCCAGCCCTCAGTGCAGACACTGCTGGGTTCCCCTCTGCCATGCCTCCTGTGAAGGCAGCAGGAGGGAGCACAGAGGGGAAAACTGCTTTTCTGAAGGTGGGTTAGTGCCTGTCCTGTTGCCGCAATGAAGGGCTGTGATAGATGCCTGCCAGGTCAGAGTCTCATTCCCCATGCTCTTACGAAAGATAACAAGTTATACGTTACAGACATAGGCTGTTTCTGAACTTCTCTCTTCCCCTGCCGTTTTCCTTCCCTACTTCACTTCTCAGTCTAAGGCTAATGGGGAAAAGACAGCACAAAGAAGAGCCTTCACCCAAGGAAATGGTTTGAAGTCTGGTCTTTGGTTGTGTTTTGTTTTGCTCTGACTTCTCAGGGTTGGGAGTGGGATAAAATTATGCTTCCTAAGGAAACCTCAGAGCTTTCCTATTCGCTTGACTCATGCACTAAAGCTTTGGCACTCTGGGCATGTGGTCAAAACTTGTCTTAATGATTTTGACATCTGTTGGTGTTTGCCAAACTCACTCTGTGCTGCCCTGGCTTCACCAGACCAAGAGAAGGAAAGTATGACAAACTTGGATTGATGAAATGAGTGGATGCAAACCCTGAGTACACAGAATGGAATAAATGAGTTGGCTCTGGTTGGTGATAAGAGATCAAGCTCTTCTGACTTTTTTTCCCACTTGCAGGGAATGGTGACCACTACAGTCAGTCTCTACATTTCCAGCTTGCAGTTCTGTATAAAACTGTTTCTTTTCACTGCAATCTGACAGGGTTTTTTAAATAAAACCTGGTTTGTATTTTGTAGGGAGAAATAGATACCAAGAAATGTGGCTCCAAGTTAGTATCTGATCTAGCTGCAAGTCTCAAACCAAGGTACCACTTTGCTGCCCTGGAGAAGGCCTATTATGAAAGACTTCCTTACAGGTTTGTAAGACCATGTGAAATCTCATTTGTTTTCTAATAGGAGTTCAATTTTTAAAGAACACAGGAGGATACCTTTAAAATAATTTCGTGAAGTTGTCCAGTCCTAACACAGGATCAAGAGCATTTCTCAGATGCACCTTATTACCATAATGCCTGCTGCCTTGAAAACTGTGCCGTTGCTGACAACACTTGTCCGAGTACATTGCAGTGAATCTGATGCCAAATTAGTTGCCCTTAGTCACATTTAAACAGTGTTCAGCCTAATTCAGGGGTGTATCTCTGAAAATGTATCGTGGAAAAGCTCTTGTGTGGTGAAGAGACTGGTGTCTTCAGTCATAACTTTGTATAGAAAATGTGACTAGTGACATAAGGTAGGTGTCAGAACAACCTACAAATAAAACTAAGGCTGTTGTGTTAATGTTGGGTAAGGTTATTACCCTTTCCACAGGAAACACTTTAAAGGTGTAGCTGTTTTCAGACTAGTGAATTGTCCTCTCATCTCTGTGTTTGGACTGCAATGAGATGTCATTTTGGTCTGTGCAGCTGTTTGCTGTAAGATCTCATGAGTGAGTCTTCCTCAAGCCTCCTTGTTCTTGGCCAAAGACTGTATGTGGCTGACATGCTGTCTGAGTAGCTTCATGGACACGTGGTTTTCCCACTGTCCTTTTCTACATTGTATATGCCAGTGTAGTCATGTTTTGCTTCCTTACAGAAATCATACAGTGCTACAGGAGACCCCACAGCATGTGAGCAGGTTTATTGCACTTGCTGATGTTGGCAACACAAGCAAGAAAAAGGTACTGACACTCTTGAATCTTTCTTCTTTTCTCAAGTACAAGTAATAGGGCAGTAAGCCCAGCTCTGGCCAGCTAGAGGACAGCGTCGATCACTTAAAAGCTTGACTGAAGTGGTGCGATCTGTCTCACTTGAGTGATAGATACCATTTGCTCATTATGTCAGAAGGGTAAGGGCTGCAAGAGGTGTTCTGAGGCACTGTTGTTCTTCTCTACCTGATTAAATGGCATGTAGCTGTGAAAACAGCTGCAGACGGAAGTGGTTAGAAAGCTGCCATTCCTTCCTCTTCCCTAGCTGCTTTACGTATTTTCTGTTCGCATGGCCTGCTTTAAGAAGGAAGCGAAATTCCAAAGGAGCCCTTACAGATCACTGAAAATAACTAACTTCTGGGATGGGAAAGGGCTGTTTGGTGTTTTTTTTTTTTTTTTTTAACCTGTTTCTCTTCTCCCCTTAAGAAAGTTACAGAATATTGGTACAGAAGGACAGGTTGCTAGTGGTTAAGAAGGCATAGGAACCAAGCCTGGTAACAAAAAAAACGTCCAGGAGTTCTGGACAGATAGAAGGCCTGGAAAAAGACAAGGATCAAGGTCGTTTCTTTTTCGAGTAGGATACACTGCTGCTTTTCAAAAAGACCTTTCCTTAAAGTGAAAGCAGTGAGCCACTTGGAAGCACTCCATAAACTCTTGGTTGCACTGGGTGGGAGATTGGCACAGGGAATGTGTTTTTTACGTCCTGCCTTAGCTTAAACACTGATTTGCTGAGTTTCTTGCAGCGCTAAGTTGTGTGTTACCGTTTCAGGGTGGCGTAGTTCACAGCTGACCTCTTCAGAGTTGCAGTCATGTCAAAAACGTCTTGCATTTGAGCTGTCTGTTTTTGTTCTAGTATCTCTATGCCTTCAGCATTGTTCCGATGAGCTTGATGGACCCTGTGGAGCTGGTGAAACAGCCACAGGACGTCACTGAAAATCCATACCGAAAATCGCGGAAGGAGGCACAGAAGACCAAAGCACCCCTGTGTGCAGAGGTACCGCTGCATTCTCCTTCATGTGTGCACTCTGGTTTCACTCTCTGTGTTCAGGGAGCTTAGAACAGTGTTTGGCTTTAGCCTTGGAGTATTTCTGTCCAAAACACTTCAGGGTTCTGTGTAAACTATTTGCATCAACCAAATTGTATAGATGCAATGCATGGGAGTTTGTTACAGTTTGCCCCTTCTTAAGCCAACCATATCCTGGGCTGCAACAAAAGCAGCGTGGCCAGCAGGTCGAGGGAGGTGATTCTGCCCCTCTATTCCGCTCTGGTGAGACCCCACCTGTAGTGCTGTGTCCAGCTCTGGGGCCCTCAGCACAGGAAAGACATGGACCTGTTGGAGTGGATCCAGAGGAGGGCCACGAAAATGATCAGGGGGATGGAACACCTCTCCTATGAGGAAGGGCCATGAGAGAGTTGGGGTTGTTCAGCCTGGAAAAGACAAGGCTCTGAGGAGACCATATTGCAGCCTTTCAACACTGAAAGGGGGCTTAGAAGAAAGATGGGGTCAGACTTTTTTAGCAGGGCCTGTTGTGATAGGACAAGGGGTAATGGTTTTAAACTAAAAGAGGGTAGATTCAGACTAGATATAAGGAAGAATTTTTTTACGAAGAGGGTGATGAAACACTAGCACAGGTTGCCCAGAGAGGTGGTAGATGCCCCATCCCTGGAAACATTCAAGGTCAGGTTGGACGGGGCTCTGAGCAACGTGATCTAGTTGAAGATGTCCCTGCTCATTGCAGGGCGGGGTTGGACGAGATAACCTTTAAAGTCTCTCTCAACCCAAACCATTCTATGATTCTTCCTGCAGGTCTGCATGGTGATGCTGTAGTTAAATCTGCTTGCTTGTCAGGACTGTCCCCTATGGGCACTCAGCACACATGGTCTTATTCTTTCTAAGCTTGTAGACTACAAATTAGTCCACTGCAATTGGCTCCCAATTTTCTCCCTTAGCCTGCTGTCTACTCAGGTGCTACTTTTTTTGATGTTGCATTTCGACTGTATCCCTTAATGCTGGTGAGCTAGGTGTTGGGTACTGTTTTTTTTTTTTCCTCAAGTATCCTAAGTTACTAACTCCATGCTCTTTTAAATACTGATTGCTTGCCACCTGAGGGCAGAAGGGCTCCTTCCCGGGGCCCAAACACTGAGCTGTTGGTGTCAGAAGCTTTGAAATCCCCAACTTTGTAATTTGATCATCAGACAAGTGGATCGTGTTCATTGGTGTAGAGACTCAGAATACTTCCCTGTGCAGAGCATGTTTTGCCCTCTAAGCATCATGAGATACTCTGCTAATGTGGACATGTGAATAGCTATGCCTGTATATCTTAATGTAATGTAGAGAAACCAAGTTGGGAAATCATTGGCCAGGGGGAAGAATACTCAGCCTGAAGTTAGGCTTGACTTGGGCCTTGCTGGAACAGTGTGTCAGGTAGGCAGTGCAAGCACTGCTCTCCAGCCTCTCTCCTGGAGCATGCACACAGAGCGAAGGGCTGGCTCCTTCCAGCTGACAGCGTGGGTGGGCACGAGGGTGACAGGCACCTCCTGATCCCTTTAGCTGTGACAACCTCCCTGCCCCCAGCTGAGATTTGCTGCTGTGTTCAACCCCTGGCAGCAAGGCTTTAAATAGACCAAACAGTCAATAATTTGATGGAAGCGAAAATTCTTGTACCTTTGAGCTTTGATATCCAATTGAAGACAGGCACGAAAGCTTGCCGAGTTTACTGGGAAAAACGCTTCCACTGTACATGCCAGTTCTTCCAGCATGGGTTGGATTTTAGACTGCAGTTGTGCTCCTGTGTGGGAGCCAAGCTAAGCTGGCATAAGCAGGCCTGCTCTTTGCCGTCCTCTTCCCAAGTGCTTTCCTCTGCAGCATTAAAGCCTTCTAATGGCATTTTGCCGTACATGACAACTTAGTCAAATTATTTCAGCCTCTCTGTGAGTCTGTTGAGAG